GATCTAGGCGTGCCAGCCATCCTTACGAGCACGGATATGGCTGTGAAACAGGGAGCGCAGCCATCCAAGGTGCACATTTCGAGGTTAGCCCGCACACTCATCTCGTACAAAAAAGCCCGCCGAATAGATCGCATCGGCCGCCCCCGGCCACCCCGCCCCACCGTCGCGGGTCCCCGTCGCCCAACGCCCCCACCGCCCCGTCCGCGGTGCCGGCCGTGAGCGGTGTCGGTGTACAGAGTATTCAGAGTCAATATGAGTCTCATACGGGCTCGAACGGGGGGGAAGGGGGGGCAGCAGGTCTCTCACGCAAACGCGGGACCGCGCGGGCCTCGAGCCACAAGCCGGTCGGGCAACGCGCCCTCCGGCCGGAACTGGACGCCCCGAGGGGCGCCCTTCGTGCCGGCGCCCCGGCGGCCCGCAAAGTGACCCCCACGCCCCTCTTGCGCCTCGTAATCCGCCCGGACCTTTGAGAGCCATCGCTCTGCCGTCGGCGCAGCCGGCTCCTTGCGCACCCGCCCGCCGCCGCCTCCCCCGCCTCCGCCGCCTCCGCGGCTACTAGCGGCCCCCGGCGGTGGGGCACAGTGGAGCAGCTTCGCGTTGACGAGGTCCTTGAGCACGATCCGCGCGGCGCGCGACTCGTCGGGGCCACCCTTGGTCGCTGTCATGAAGCCGCGCGCGAGGGCGAGCGCGATCAGCAGCTCGCGCGCCTGCTCGGGCGCATCGGGGTCGTCCAGCCGCTGCTCCGGAGTGCGCAGCCTGACGCCGTACGTCTGGAAAAAGTCGTCGGGACCGAGCCGGCCACAGAGCAGGCGGAGCGGCGGCATGTAGTCCCGCATTTGGTCGATGGGCAGGATGCCGTCACAAATCATCTGCGCCTTGGAGCCCGCCACCGAGGGGAAGACGAGGCCGGGGCAGTCGCAGAGCACCTGAGGGGTGGGCGAGGTGTTGGAAGGGGTGGGCGGGGGGCGGGCGGGCGGCGAGGGGGCGGGGGTGGCAGGCGGGAGGTCCTGGGGGAGACGCTGGGTGCGGGGAAGGGGTGGGGCGGGGGCTGGTGCGTCGGTGGTGTCTTGAGGTGTGTCTGCTCAGGACCAAGCGGTGGCTCGGAATCCATGCCGACATTACAGAGTCGTCAACCGCACCAGAAGGCCAGTGTGGGGGGGGGGAAGGGGAAGGCCCCCCTTGCCGGCGGTTGCCGGTTGGTTGTTGGCCGGTTGGTTGGGGGGGGGTTGTGGG